AGATGAAATTCAACCTTAAATCAAAAAGTAAATTTTAATTTTTTGGTTGAATTCATATGAATCAGTTAAAAAAATAACCTATATTTAAGCTATATTCAACCTAAAATTGATCTAAAAACATTAATTACTTAAAATCAGTAACCAATTTTAGGTTGATTTTTTGGTTAATTTTACATAAATTTGGTAAATTCAACTTCTGATTTAAGATCAAATTTCATCTTTTTGACCAGTATATATTTTTTCAACTAAATCTAATTTTATTAATATTTGATATATATTTATTTGCTTTTTTTTAATTAAATCTAATTTTATCATTAATAGAATGAACTTTTTGGAATTTTTAAAGAAAGTGGTAATAAATTTGGCCTTAACATTAATAAAAAATGGAATGAAGAAAATGATCACTTGTCTCAAACTATAATCTCTATGCTATATAATCTTTTTGCTAAGTGATTTGGTACTGATCGGACTGAGTTGGCTAACATGTTGAAGCAATGTCTCAAATCTTCTTGTAATACTCAGTTTGTACATCAGAGTAAATCTCAAAGCATACACATTGATGAATGCATATATCAAAATTACTAAAGAACTAATATATAAATTTTTTTCTTTATCATTATAATATAAATTTAGTAAATTATAACTTAAAATCAATCTAAATTTAGTTAAAAATTTAGGTTGATTTTAAGTTATAAGTTACTAAATCTTAGTTTTCAATATTTAATTAAATTTTGATTTAATTTTATAAAAAATGTCTTGATAGGCTGCAGCATTTCAGTATCTTCATGAAAAAAATAATAATCAGATCTCTAACTATAACACAGAGGAAGTAGTACAATTATTAACAAATAATGATGTCTATTCTCAGATGCTAATCAAGAAAAAGATGAAAAAATCAATTACTGTATATGTTAATGTTCATGGCTTGTCTTGAAAGTCAAAAAAGCTAATTTTTTTGTTTATATTATGCTAATAAAACTTCAACATATTAAATAGCAATATTTGTTGCTATTAATTGATATTCTGTATATTAAATAATATATATAACATATTTTAAATACACAAATATTAGTCAAATAGCAAAATTAATACATTAAATCTTAATTTATTAATTACATAAAAGTTTAATTTTCTTATTTATTTTAATAATTAAATGGCCTGTTATATAACATTCTTGATACAACTATAAAACTAATCATAAATGTTCTTATCAATCATTATATACACTAATAGCACACTGTCCTGATAATATTCCTGATTAGGCAGTAAGTGATGTTGAAGATGATAGAAGTAATTATAGTAATGAGGATGAGAATGATGAGGATGAAGATGAGAGTAAGAAGGAAAAGGAGGAAGAAAAGAAAAAAAAAGAGAAGAAAGAAGAGAAGGAAGAGAAGGAAGAAGAGAAGAAAAGTAACAGTAAAAAAAGAGGCTCCAAAAGTAAAGATAGTAAAAATAGTAAAGAGAAATAGAGATGTAAAAAAAAAATGGTAAAAGACCTGCTTCTGATTTTGTAGAAAAAAGGCAAAGAAAGCAAAGAGTTTAATCTTTTTCTAAAAAAAATTTTTTTTATAAATTTTGTATCAATTTTTTTATTTTTATAATAAAAAATTTATAATTTATAGCAAGTTTTAACTGTTTTTAATAAGCCAGCTTTAATTTATATATATAACAATATATATTTAGTATAAATTTTGCTTTTTAACATTTAATATCTGAATTCTAAATAAATCTAAATTTGCCCAGAAATTAGATGTTAAATTTAACATATTTAAGTTAAATGTCATTAGTAATTGACTATTGATTATAAGTTTAAAGTTCTAATTTATTATTTGTTTATTCATTTATCTATTGGATATTCGATCTAAATTTATTTGGATATCTATTTAACTATTGGTATATTGATGATTACTATGAGTATACTGATAATTATATAAATAAATTATTCAAATACTAATAGAAAATAGATATCTGATAAATTCCAATATAAATATATAGATGAAGGATTTATCTATATTAAAACTCTATATAAGTTAATTTATTATATTTTTTGACAGTCTATTAAAATAGCCAATTTGACTTAAACTCAATCATTGATTAATTGGCTGATTTATATCAAATGTTATTAGCAATTAACTGTTAATTAGCTACCAATTTGCTTTGTTATTTGTATAAATCAGTAAATAATCAATGGTTAAGTTCAGGATGAATTGGTCATATTAATTAGTAGTTATATTTAATTAGTATAATGAAACAAATCTGCCTAAATTAGTAGATTTATTTGCAAATTATTACATGAATTTTTCTGACAGTTAAAATTTTATAATAATAACAATAAAGCTTGTGGCTTCTAAATTTAAAATATACCTGTTATTAGAGTTCTAATTATTATCTATCAATTAAATACTCAATTTGAATATCTATAGAAATCTCGTTTATTATTGATATCAATTATAGATTAGAAATAGATATCTGAATAAATCCAATATGGATATAAAGGTGGTGAATTGGAATACTATATAGTATATATCTAAAATAAATTGTTATTATAAATAAAATATATTTATATAATATTGTAAAAGAAAAATATATATATCGGAATTTAAATCATAATTTACTGAACACATATTATAATATCAATACTAAAGTTATTTTAATTTAAATACATTTTTAAATAAATCAAGTATTTGATAAATAAAATATGCTTATTTCACTTATATAGTGCTGTCAATACATCTATTTTACATAATGATTAAAGGTTGATGTAATTAAGTGTTTAATAATTATGCACAAGTTTCTATCTAATCAAATCACAAATAAATATCCAATTACTGTACTGATTTATGCAGATCAAAAATTCTATTTTATTATCAATTTACATATATAAGTAATACATATTTCTATCTAAATCATATAATTTGTATTGCTTGCAGCATATTTTTAAAAAATTCATAATTTCACATATATGGCTTTATAACACAGACAGATTTTGAAGTTTGTTATAAAACATGAAGTTAGATTATTATATAGAAACTATTATAGTACTAATTACATATGATATGTTATTAATTATTTTTATTATGTGCTTTATTTTAATATATTAAAATTTTTTAGATCTAAAATATAAAAGAACAATAATGACCAGATCATAACTCTTGTGTAATACTTACTTTCTTTCTCAAAAGTAAGAAAAAAAACAAAAGTTTATATTATTTTTCTTCTGAATAAAAAATGCTTACTATTTTAAATCTTTATAGCCAATATTATTACCACTTTATTTTAATATAAGCCATTCATATTCTTCCAGTATTTCTTCTCCTTTATCTGCATAAAGCAGAAATTATACTAGTGATAAAGATAATATTTTAATTATTATATAATCTTATATATTGGGTAAAGGCTTGTAGCATATATGCATGTTAGGCAGCTTATATACATATTAGCTGAATTTCTATAAAGGCTTTTTTTGTTAAACAAATAGATGGTTTTGATTTTTTTTTCATAATTGATAAAATAAAAGTACTAAGAGATGAGATAAAATATCTTGACAATAAAATTGATAATTTCACAAAAAAAAATAAAAAAAAAGCCTGTTCAACATTACCTAATAGCAACAATAGCAACAATAGCAACAATAGCAACAGTAATAACAGTAGCAACTATAGCAGCAATGAGAGTAGCAGCAACTACTACAATAGCAACTATCACAACAGCAGCAACAACAAACAAAAAGAAAGAAAATCCTCTAAAAAAAAGGTGCCAAGGCCTCTTACCAAGAACAAAAAAGTTATTAAGAGTATGTATTATAATTATTTAGTACTTAAACAAATATTAGGTTGCTTTTTTATTTCTCTTAGACAGCATCAGATCATATTTTTATTTAAAATATCTCAAATAAAAATTGGAAGTTTATATATATTTATTTAGTTATTTAAATTTATTATAATAAAATGACATTATGATTTCAATTACTAGGTTGGAAGAATCCAGAAAACTTAATTTTGCTAAAGTTTGGTCAGAATTCAAGAAAGAGTTCCTTAAAAATTCTTTCAAAATTATTAAATGAGATGTAGAAAGGTACCAAGTAGATAACTATTAGATCTTGAAAATTATTAAAGAACATTAATGGTACCAAAAAAAGAAGTATTAGAAACAGCAAGTCTCAGAAAAAGATAAGCAAAATCATGCAAAAAATCATGAAAATCAAAAGATGACTGCTGTAAAAAAATTTTTAATATCAAAATTTTGCATAGATAAGTATCAGAATGATTTTAAATATATTTTTCAGAAAATTAATCAAAAAAAAGTGTTTACTCACTTGCAAAAAACTAAGGTATACCTGCCTATTTTCAGAAATCATTTAATTTCTGTAAATTATACACTTCCTGTATTTAAAGTTTAAGTTTGTAAGTTTGTTACGCAATTTTTAGCCTTTTTTTACAAATAAATAAAATTGCTAAACAAGTAATTTTTTTTTGTGCAAATTTGTTTTTTAAACCTTCTATTTGTGCCAAGGTATATAGATGCCATTAATATGTTAACAAAATTCTAAACTAAATAGTTAGTAATCTATAAGAAAAAAAAAACAATATTTCAACAATATACATTAATGAATTAAACTCACCAAAAATACTATGCCCAAAAAATATGTACTATGCCTAAAAAATGTATTTTATTTGGACTCTACACAATTAAAAACTTTTTTATTTTGTTATGCTGATTTATGTATATTAAACAAAGTACTTAAATCTTATTAGTGGCCCACCAAATTTATGAGTCATACCTAATTATATGATCACATATAAATTTAAATCCCTTGAAAAAATTTTTTAGTTGCATTTGCAACATATAGTAGTTTTTTTTTTTTTTTTTATCTGTACTCTCACTATAATGTATGTAATATGAATTGATTAGTATCTTCAAAAAAGGATACAAAATCTTATCAAGCTTCTATTCAGGCAGCATTAAACTTTCTTGAAATTCAAAAAAATAGTACAAGTATGCCTTTAAGTGTTCACAGAATTGCTTTGAATTTTGATGTCACTGGACAAACACTGCATGATGCTATAGCTCAAGGTAGTGCACCTAAATGCCCAGGTCCCTCTACAATACTCACAGCTGAAGAAGAAAATGAATTAGTTGAATACTGTTTGAACATGCAAAGAATTGGATTTAAACTTACTAGAGCAGCCATAAATACAATGATTGTACAAATGCTTAAAATTAAAAACAAAGAATATTTACTTAAAAATGGTCCTAATAAAAAATAGTAGAAAATATTTATATATAATTATTTATAGCCTTCTTTTTATGTTCCTTAGGAACTGTCTAAAGCATGTGCCACTAAGGCTAACCCAGTTGTTATCCAAAACCATTTTACAACACTTAAATAAATAATTGATAAACATTCATTAACAGCAAACAAAATTTGAAACATGAATGAAAGTGGTTTTAATATCTTAGCATGGTTAAGAAAAGTACTAGCTCAAAAAGGTATTTGACAAGTTCATAAAACTGCAGCTATATGTTCAAAAGAACATGTATCTGTTTGTTTTACTATTTCAGCATCTGGAATGTGTATTCTGTCATTACTAGTTTATAAAGGTGTTAATGTAATTAAAGGTTTATTAGATAATGCATTAGTTTTATCTAGTATTGTTGCTACATTTACCAATACTGATTACATGCATGAAAATATTTTTGGAATGTACATAGAGCATTTTAACAATTCAATCCTCTCTACTAGACCTGTCTTGCTTATGCTTGATGGAGCTACTAGTCATATCAACTTAATTAGTATTAAATACTATAATGAAAACAATATTCTTCTTTATGTTTTATCTTCTAATACTACCCATATTCTTCAACCATCTAAAACTTTTATTAAAAAACTTAAGGCTAAATATGATAAAGCATCAGATTGTTATCATTCTAATAATGACTATGAAGTAGTTACAAAATACTCATTTGCACAAGTTTTTGATAAAGCATTTTATGAAACATATACTCTGAATGCAATCAGACATACATTTGCTGCAACTGGTATTTGGCTACTGAATCTTAATGCAATTAACTCTGATCGCTTAATGCCTTCATTACCAACTTATAAACTTGTTATTACAAGCTAAAAAATAACTCATACACATAATATAAGAATTAGCAAGTTGACTCAGCTTGAAAATAAAAATAAGGAATTATGTGAATATATTCAAAGCTTAGAGAATTCTGGAACTGTGTTTTTATCTTCAATTATGAAGTATCCCTATCCAAGGCAATTATCAGTAGAAAAAAACCTCAAGTCAGGCCCAAGGCCTTCAAGTTTGGAATATTGATAACTGCAGAATCAATTGTAAAAGAATTAGAAGACAGAAAAAACATAAAGTAAAAGAAGATCGATGATGCAAAGTTAAGAAAAGAACAGCAGAAACAATGGGTTTATAATAAAAAAGCAAATAATGATAAGAATAAATAGATCTTCATTACATTGTAGAGGGTAAAATAAATTTATTATAGCCCATTAAATCTTGTTTTATGTTACATTTAAATAAAAATTAGCTTTTGCAGAATTAAATATTTGGTTATTAAATATTACTATTAAATGCTATATATTAAATATGATTTTTTTTACATGTAAGTTAACAAAAGCCTACTAAGTAAACATCTGCCATGTTTGCTATAATGAATTATACAACTCCTAAAAATTTTTGTAAAAAATGAGATAAACTTTATTAATTAGTTTTAATTTAATATCAAAAAAAAAAAAATTTTATAAAATTTTTTAATATATAATTAAATAGCCTTACCTATTAGTAAAATCTTTTCTGATTTGTATAAAATGTCTGCAATGAGTGTAATTTAATGCTGTGAACATGTTCACTTAATGCACTTGATTTGATTAATCTAATAAAAAATCAAGTTTATTATATACCCACAGGAATAGGATGGTAGCCTTTAATTTTGTATAAATTATATAGATTAAATTTTTTTTTTTTTTAAATATTAACGGTGAGGCCATGCCTTTAACTTTATTGAAATTCAATTGAAGTTTTTAC